CTGTGACACACGGAGCTGCAGCCACAGATGGTTCTTCCTGGGACAGGGGGGACGGGCGGAAGTGATGCATTTGTCTGCTGGGTCTGGGGAATGTGTGAAGGGAAGGAGCTTCCCCCTGGCTCTGCTCAGGCACGGGGTGTCCCCCGACCCCCAGACACACCCTGAGCAGACTGGGCATTCAGGGCTCCGTGGGGCACCCATGGCCGTGCAGGGATCACAGAGCCCAGGGCTCCATGGGGCACCCATGCCCTTGCAGGGATCAGAGCCCAGGGCGGCACTCCCAGGGAGGGCTGTGATGTGGGAGCAGCTCCCGGTGAGCAGCGGGCTCAGGGAGAGCCGGGTGGGTGGGTGTGCTGCGGGTGTGACACTGCCTGTGTGTGTGAGTGGCCGTGCACGGTGCTGGGAGGAGACGGGCACCGGCCCCGTGCCCACAGCATGCATGACGGGGGTGCAGGGCAGCCCCACAGAGGGGCTTCTGGCACCCTGACCATGCTCTGCAGGTGGCCAGACTGTCCTGGGAGGCAGTCATGCGACAGGGCCTGGGGAAGGCCAGATGCCCAGCGTCCCACTGTGGCTGTCAGAGAACATGCTGGGTTATGTGGCTTTTTGGGGCACCATCTCCCACCTGTGCTGACAGAGAACATGCTGGGTTATGTGGCTTTCTGGGGTCACCTCCCACCTGTGCCCCTGCAGCTGCAGGCTGCCTGCCGGGCCGAGGGTCACAGCAGCCATCCCCATTGCTGCTGAGGCTGGGCTGGCCCTGTCAGCTGCACACAGCTCTGCTGGCCCCACTATGCTGCCTGTGCCTGGGCACTGTCCCTGCCTGGGGCGCTCGCCCAGAGAGGCACCTGCTCCCAGGAATGGGATTCCCATGCTGGGCATGGCAGGCACCTCCCTCCCAGACCACAGGAAGCATCCTGAAGTTCTGGCAGGAGATTCCCTGGATGTGTCACCTGCAGTGGGTAGCCAAAGGGCTGGAGAGACCTCAAAGGCTCTCCTGTCCCTGCCCAGGCACAGACAGGCAGCAAGGTGTGGGCACTGCTGCCTCCTGCTGCAGCCAGCCCCGTGAGTGTCCCCTCCCAGCCAGGGGCCAGGCTCGTTCCCACAGGCAGCATCCGTGCCCCAGGGCATTGCCCCTGCCCAGGACATCACCCCCGGCCACGGGGCAAAGCCCCCTGCCCTGGGAGCTCCGAGGGTCGCAAGGGAAGGCTCAGGGTCCTCCTGCACCCAGGCTGCTGCCTGGCCCTGGGCAGGGCAGGTCTGCGCCTCCAGCCCCTCAGCTCCCCTCAGCTCCCGGAGCACCAAGTACCGTGAAGCACCATCGTGCCCAGCACCCATCTGAGCCACGTGGACCATCACCCCGGGCCAAGCAGCACACGGACCATCACCCCGGGGTGCCAGCACTGGGGTCAGCAGTCCATAGGGCA